CATGTCCACATCGCACTCGCTTCCCGTTGGGCCCTCTCCTGCAACTCCGTTCCTTCTCCCTCCTCCTCCTCCTTTCTCCTCCTGCCTGCTCCCTCATGCACATCATTCGCCTCCTCCTTCTCCCTTCCATCTCCTTCTCCTTCTCCTCCTGCTCCTCGAGGACCAGGAGGAGCAGCGGCGGTGCCCAACCAGCAGGTGGTCGACACCACGGCGCGCCTCGCCCTGACGCTGGCGCGCGAGCAAGCCGAGTTGGCGGCGGCCATCCTCCAGACGTGGGAGCTCAACACTCAGAGCGGCATCGCGCAGGCAGGCCTGACAGCAGGCCAGTCCTACAACGAAGCGGCGCAGGAGCTACGCCGCAGAGCAGGCGAAGGAGAGCAAGTGGACACGGCATCATTGGGCAGCCCCCACATTCGCGTGTGGACCGAGGTGGTGAACTACATGGGCCGCACCCTGGAGTCGGACGCGGAGCGCGACAACTTGGAAAAGTACTACCAGGACACCATCTTGAATGGCAACGCGGAGACCGTGGCCGACAGCATTCCGATCTTCAGGGTGCGCAAGAACAAAAGCAAAGAGGGCGGCGCGAACGAAAAGTGCATGTTCCAGTTCCAGGTGAAGTCCACGAATCCGCAGCTGGAGGCTATCCTCGTTCGGGTACTACGCAAGGAAGGAGCAGTCCGCAAAATTGGATCGGCACCGAGGGGAGCGCTGGAGCGGGAGTTAGGGCGCCTGATCAACGGATGAACGAGTCGACTCGTGAGGCAGAAGGCCATGAGCGAACTGTGCAGCTCTGTTCTGCGCCAGCCAGCGCTGTAGCCCAGGCAATCCCGAAGGCGTTCAGAGGCAGTGAACGTTTCAGCATGCTGGTAAGGGAAGGCCGCCTCCCCCCTCCTCCCACGTCGTCTGAGACTCCTGACCTTCTCCGACTCCGAGGCCCGAACTTTCCCGAGTATTTTGTTGTGCGCCGACCTCCCCCACCCCCCCCGAACCGAAGCGAAAAGGAAGGGGCAGAGGAGGCCAGGGCAGGGGAGTAGAGGAGCCAGCGAGAGGGCATTCGTAAAAGCGGGTGCTACCCTGCCCGCGGATCCCTGCGCGGGGTAGGTCGGTGCAGGTAGGGCCCGAACGTCTACGATGACGCCAGCGACCCCGTTTTCAGCAAAATGATCTCAGCTAGGCCGCCAGATTTTGTAATGCCGCACTAGCCCCGTGAGAGTGTAGCACCGAACTGGCCCGAGAGCTCGATCGATCGACGTCCTCTTCATCCCGAGCGGCATCTCGGAGCCTAGAGTTGCGAGGATGTCTCCAGCGTAACGGGCTGGACACCCTCGCGCGCGGCATCGCGGACCCCAGAGTTGCGACGATTTCTCGGGCGAAACGTGCTGCGAGGAAGTCTCAGACGAAACGGGCCGGACCACTTCGAGCGCGGCGTCTCAGAGCTCCGAGTTGCGGGGGCCTCCTGGGGCCTCCTGGGGCCTCCTGGGGACCTCCTGGGGCTTCCTCCTGGGGCTCCTGTGGCCTCGTGAACTCCACCTGGGGTTTCCTGAAGCCTCTTGGGGCTCCCAGGGGGGATGTCAAACCTGTGGCCGTTTGGGCCTCTCCAAATGGAGGGGGGGGCACAAGAGCAGGAATAATCAACGAATCGACACCGGATGTGTATTAACTTGACACGTTCTGATAGGCTGCCTCCTGGGGCCTCCTGGGAGCCTCCCAGGAATCTCCTGGGGACCCCTGGGGCCTGTCCTGGGCGTCGTGCGGTCTCCTGGAGCTCTCTGGGGCCTCCCCCTCCTCCTGCCTGCTCCCTCATGCACATCATCCGCCTCCTCCTTCTCCCTTCCATTTCCTCCTCCTCTTCCTCCTCCTCCTCCTCCTCCTCCTCCCTCCTCCTCCTCCTCCACCTCCTCTTCATCCCGAACGGCATCTCGGAACCTAGAGTTGCGAGGATGTCTGCAGCGTAACGGGCTGGACCACCTCGCGCGCGGCATCGCGGACCCCAGGGTTGCGACGATGTCTCGGGCGAAACGTGCTGCGAGGAAGTCTCAGACGAAACGGGCCGGACCACCTCGAGCGCGGCGTCTCAGAGCTCCGAGTTGCGGGGGCCTCCTGGGGCCTCCTGGGACCTCCTGGGGACCTCCTGGGGCATCTGGGGTTTCCTGAAACCTCTTGGGGCTCCCAGGGGGGATATCTAACCTGTGGCCGTTTGGGCCTCTCCAAATGGAGAGGGGGGGGCACAAGAGCAGGAATAATCAACGAATCGACACCGGATGTGTATTAACTTGACACGTTCTGATAGGCTGCCTCCTGGGGCCTCCTGGGAGCCTCCCAGAAATCTCCTGGAGACCCCTGGGGCCTGTCCTGGGCGTCCTGCGGCCTCCTGGTGCCTCCTGGGGCGTCCTGGGGACCTCCTGGAGCTTCCTCCTGGGCCTCCTGCGGCCTCCTGAACTCCACCTGAGGTTTCCTGAAGCCTCTTGGGGCTGCCAGGAGGGATATCTAACCTGTGGCCGCTTGGGCCCCTCAAAATGGAGGGGGCACAAGAGTAGGAAAAATCAACGAATCGACACCGGATGTGTATTAACTTGACACGTTTTGATAGAGGGCCTCCTGGGGCCTCCTGGGAGCCTCCCAGGAATCTCCTGGGGGCCCCTGGGGCCTGTCCTGGGCGTCCTGCGGCCTCCTGAAGCTCTCTGGGACCTCCTGGGGCTCATAGGGTCCCAGGGGGGATATGTAACATGTGGTCTTCTGGGCCCCCAGGCTGGACCACCTCTTGCGCAGCATCTGAGAGCTCAGAGTTGCGAGAATGTCTTGTGCGAAACAGGCCGGACCACCTTGCGCACGGCATCTCAGAGCTCAGAGTTGCAAGGATGTCTCAGGCGAGACGGGCCGGACCACCTCGCGCAGGGCATCTCAGAGCTCAGAAGTTCGAGGATGTCTCAGGCGAAACGGGCCGGACCACCTCTCGCGCGGCATCTCCGAAGTCAGAGTTTCGAGGATGTCTCAGGCGAAACGGGCCGGACCACCTCGCGCAAGGCATCGCAGAGCTCAGAGTTTCGAGGATGTCTCAGGCGAAACGGCCCGGACCACCTCTCGCACGGCACCTCGGGGCTCAGAGTTTCGAGGATGTCTCAAGCGAAACGGCCCGGACCACCTCTCGCGCGGCGTCCCGGAGCGCAACTTTTCGAGGATGTCTCAGGCGAAACGGCCAATCCCGGCCAACTCATAAACGAGAGTTGTGAGGATGTCTCAAGCGAAACGGCCCAAAACATACAATTTTTGTGAGGATGTCTCTGCTCCGCCTTCCCTCGGCCGGAGTTAGTTTCTATCACAACAGCACCCCGTTCAGCAAGCTGTTTGGGGAAATATGGGAAGTGGGGGGTAGAGACAAAGACCCGGAAAATATAGGAAAATATTGGGATGTTTTTATTTGTGTGTATTTGTTTGTGTGTTTCAGGGCCCCTTCACGCTTGCCGGAGGGAGAATCATTTGGTCCGGCCGCGCCTCAGCCACAGGAGACTTTCCTCTCGCCCGCCCACGCAGCTTCGCCTCGCCCGCACGCACTGCAAGCACGAACACGAAACCGAAACCGATTTCCCAGTGGGGGGCTCTCCGTTCCACTTCGATCTCACCCCCTTAACCTCCGACTAAATGTGCGTCGCCCTCCTCCAGGGGCGACGCGTGCACCGAGAAATCTCGGATTATACCTATACGACCACCCTGCGGGTGATAAGGAGGTTGGGGGGGGAGGGGGGCCAGCAATGGGCAACAGTGGTGATTGTTGCGTTGCCGCTCGCTCTTGGGACCATCGATCCCACAATCGAACTCACTCGATCGACCTCACTATCGATCTCACTCGATCGATTTCACTGTCGATCTCACTCTGGATCTCGCTATCGATCCCACTATCGATCTCCCTATCGATATCACTCGATCTCACAATCGATATCACTATTCATCTCACTATCGATCTCACTATCGATCTCACGATCGATCTCACTGTCGGTCTCACTAGTCCGCAACGTGACAAAATGTATACATCGCGGTTTGATTGTGTGTTTCTGGTTTTGTCTCGTTGCTTATGCTGGTTTGTCGCTTGTTTGGTTGTGGCATTCTGGCGTGCGGGCAAGAAACATATTTCAGGTAGACCGTCCCGCCGTGAAACCCAGCGTCATGGCGTGGCGAAGGCATACTTCATACCGTGCCGCTGAATCCATATTTCACATCATCTGGAATGATGTGTGATCTTTGCGGGACAGGCAGGGTGAGCAGTTTATTATCATGATGGGTATGCCTTCGCTACCACCCACAATCAGGGTCTAGCTGCCGCGCTGTAACGACTGGCTTTGTACGGCGCCTCGGGACTTTGCACACCGCAGGATTTGTAATACATGTTGGACGCGTGGTTGCGTTGGAGCGTCTGGGGTTGTGATCGCGCGGCCGCGCCCTTCCCTTTGCCCTCCCTCTGGACCCGCGCCAGCTTTGCGGTTGAAATGAGCATTGTTAGAGGAAGAGGCTGTTCTCCCCCTTGAAACCATGACAGAGGAAGCGTTGCTGTAAGTCATGTGACTTCGTATCCCAGGCGTCGCACGTCGGCTTCTGAAGGTCTTCTCTAAATAAGCATCCTTGCATCAAATTAGCATGACGAAGCGGATGAGGAGGAGCAGGAGGAGGAGGAGGAGGAGGAGCAGGAGGAGGAGGAGGAGGAACACATTGAGGAGGAGGAGTGAGGAGGAGGAGGAGGAGAGGGAGGAGGCAAGCAGGAGGATGGGGAGGCGAGGGCGAGGGGGAAGCGGGAGAAGAGGAGAAGGAGGGGGAGGTCGAGAGCGAGGCGGGGGATAAGGGGTGCAGGAGGAGGAGGAGGAGGAGAAGGAGGAGGAGGAGGAGGAGGAGCAGGAGCAGGAGCAGGAGGAGGAGGAGGAGGAGGAGGAGGAGGAGGAGGATGGGCGGGACAAATCATGATGTGGTGTAGGAGGATGCCCCTCCTGCCTTCCCCCCCCCCTGCCCAGGCGGACCCGAAGTTCCTGGACCTGCTGGCCCTCGCGAGCGAGGCGGGCACGGGCTCGGCCTCGCACGCAGCTGACTAGCATGCCTCTTCCTCCCTCTGGGGACGCAGCTTCAGCCTCGGCGCTGGTGTATCCGTGGCGGGCACGGGCTCGGCCTCGCGCGCAGCTGGTTTGCATTCTCCTCCCGCCCTCTCCGGACGCAGCTCCTCGGAGGTCAACTTCAGCATCGGCGTTGGTATGCAGTGGGGGCCCATGCCAAGATGCGCCCTGCTTGCCTCCAGGGTGCCCTGGGTTTCTTGATTGTCGATGGTTTTGCGATGGAAAGCGTGACGTTCCCACATCCGTAGCCGTTTTGGCTCAAGTCCACGTTTGCTCAAGCCGTGTTGGCCAGCAGACCTGGACCTGGGGCGGTCGCGCGCGCAAAGCGCTCATGGCCACGGAGACTGGCATGGCCGACATGGCCGAACTCACCGGAGCGCAGCTGCAGCGGACTTGTGCGCCGCTGTACCCGTCCTTCGCCCTCGAGTCGTTTGCCGCCCTGCTCCTGTTCTTCTTCTTTACCTACCTGTCCATCATCATCGGGACCAGGCAGCAGCTCAGGACGCCGGGGCTCTCGGTAGCCAAATTGGCTTGGTTCAACCTCACAGGCTGGTGGAACGACACGTACAGAGTGCTCAGCAGGTGGAATGAGATGGGCTCGATGTCGATGCCCAAGCGGTTGCGCTTCTGTCGGAGGTTGAATGCGACGATCTGCCGGTTCTCGGCCGTCGTCGCGCTTTTGGCCGTGACCCGCTGGCTGCACGTCAACAATGTCAACGGTTTTCGGTACTTGGGATACGCCTTCACTTGCCCCCTGATGCAGGCCGAGCTCATCCTGATCATCGCGCCGATCGTGCCGTGCTACAGGATGGTGACGCAGATGACTGCCCTGATTACTTTCCTGATGCTGCTGTCTGGGTACATCGCGTCCCAGTTTGATGGGCCGCTGTGGGACGGCGACTTCGTTCTCGACAGGAACCTCAGCTTCCTCACCATGAAAGGCTGGGTAACGCTCCCGAGCGTCGTCATCCTTTGTTTTCTCTCCTTCGTTCAGATCCCCGTCCTGGGCCTGATATACTGCTGCCACGGCGGGGGCCGCGACGGCAACTTCCCGCGCGGTTACCTGAAGCTCTTGGCGATCACGTCCTTCACGTGGCTCCTCTTCCCCTGCTGGTGGTTTCTGTCCTTTGAGGGCGCGGGCTACATCCAGGACACCAAGCTCAACGGCCTTGGCTTCGTGCTCATGAACATGACCAGCAAGGGTGCGTTCACGATGCAGATGCTGTCCATGGTCAAGCGGTGGAAGCGCGACTTCGGGGACAGCGGGTTTGGGCGGCAGACCTCACTAGACTCTGCCGTTTCTGACCTCCAGAATCTCTCGCCTCGCAGCAACAAAACCGAGAAGTCCGCGGACTGGATGATCAATGGTCTGAAGACGTGGGATCAGGGTAGCGATAACTCGCTGGATGGGGTCCCGGGCCTGGGCCACGAGACGCAGGCGCCGCCACCACCCGAGAAGACGATTGTCCTCGACACGACTTGCCTGAGCGATGAGGTGCTTGTCTCGGAGCTGGCGAGGAGGATCAATCTGAGCAGCGTGGGCAACACCGACCACATTGTCGGCAAGCCCCTCGACCCCCAGGAGCTCTTCATGCAGGCGCTGGACAAAGAGATACACATGGCGTGCGCGAAGTTCGCCGATGATGAATCAGACGAGGAGTAAGAAGGCGGTCGATCACACCTCGGGGCTCCGTTTCTCCAGGGCCGCGCGGGCCGCGGTGAGGGCGTGGCTGCTCGGAAGGGGTTCGGCCAGCCGCCAGAGGCCTCTTGTGAGAAAGGACAGACAGACAAAGATAATTCAACAGGCGAATGCCTTGCGCGAATGTCGCTTCGGTTGTACGCTATTGTGCGTCGAAATCCAGCCACGCTGCCCCGCATACCCGCCACCGCGCTGAACGTTGTCGACGGTTCACTGGTGGGTGAAGTTTTCTAGTGGCGCGGCCATTTAGGCCATAACTGATCTTCCGGCAGCGTCCGGACGTGAGCACACCGCGGGCACAACGTTGCGTACGATGTGCGTCGTCACGGCTACGCTTTATTTTTATCGCGTGAGTGCGATCTCTTGTTTGTAGCTGTATTCCATGGATTCAAACAAGATTTAGATTTTGATTCGGACCATGGCTGACCTTCTGGCAGTCGTAGGATCGATCGAGTCTCATTTTTTGGCATTGTTGATGCCTTGACAGGAAGAAAACAAGAAAGCGTAACGTTCCCACACCAAACATCAATGGACGATCTGGGGTCCCAGGGTTGGGTTTCTCGTGGAAGATTCCTTGTGGTCGAGCTCCTACTGTAGGACGCAGTTCCTCGGAGGGCACCTTCAGCATGGGCGCTGGTATATCCGTGGTCGAATACCAGCAGAATCCCGCTCAAGCCTGCCTAATCCTGGGCTTCATATCTTCGAGTCGTTCTCACGAGCTTTTGCAGCGGGCAGGAGGGTAGGAGTTGCCCCGGACTCTCCTCCTCCTCCTTCTCCTCCCTCCTTTTCCTCCCTCTTCCTCCTTCTCCTCCTCCTCCTCCTCCTCCTTCCTCCTCCTCCTCCTCCTCCTCCTCCTCCTCCTCCCTCTTCCTCCCTCTTCCGCCGCCTCCTCCATTCACGCTGCCGACGCTTGTGGAGCCACGGGCGCTCCTCTTCCCCCGTCGACGAACTCGCGGGTGGATGCCCCGCGCAGGGCGTGCCAATTGGATTGCGCATCGGGCCGCGAGGGAACGAAGCAACGTGGCCGTCGCTCGTTAGAGGTGATATCTCAGCTCGTGCCTGTCCCAGAAATTCGACTGAATGTCTGCCACTTCCCAGAAGATCTGAAAACCCCTCCCTGGGACTGGGAGGAGGAGGAGGAGGAGGAGGAGGAGGAGGAGGAGGAGGAGGAGGAGGAGGGAGAAGGAGGAGGAGGAGAGGAGGAGGAGGAGGAGGAGGAGGAGGAGGAGGAGGAGGAGGAGGAGGAGGAGGAGGAGGAGGAGGAGGAGTGTTTCGTCCCGAGCCGTGATCTGGCGGCCCCCCCGGCCCTGCGAGGGTCCCGGGTGACTGGAACCAGGAGCGCCCCTCTCGTCGTGTTCTGTGTCACGGCGCGAGTGTGTCAGGGCTTAGAGTCGGGGCGCTGAACAAGGAACCCTTTTCGTTGGGGAGGGGCTCGGTGTTCCTTAATTGTTTCGCAGCTTGCCTTAGGTTGTCCTTAGGTTTTCGATGGGGAATCGAGGTTTAACTGATGGAAAAAAGGGGCCTCGTTCCTTATTTAGGGTTCCTTCGGTCAAGGCCCCGACTGTACTGGGCCCTGGAAACGAGAGGGCCGTTTTTTTAGCGGCTCCGTTTTGCCGTTTTTTGGCCGGTTCCGACGCCGTTTTTTTACCGGCTCCGTCGCCGTTTTTTGACCGGTTCCAGCTTTTTGTTCCAATCCTGGAGCCGCTTTTCTGTTGTTTCCGGTCGCCGTTTTTTGCCGTTTCCATTTTCAAGGGGCATTTTTGTGGAAACGGTGAAAAAACGGCCCTGCCGTTTCCGGGGCCCACGAAAGTGTCAGGGTACCCCGGTGGGGAAAATCGTCGAAGCCCCGTGCGGCACGCAACGGCTGTAGCATCCAGTCCACACGGCCGCTCCGTAAGACCTGGGGGTGCTCCCACGCACATCCGACCCGAATCGGACGCAAGCCGGGTCTGGAGTTGCCGCTCGCGGCCTCCAGGGCTATCCTCGTCCACCATCCGACGCGAGGACAAGTGGCCTTCGGGTCATAGCCTGGGTCTCCGGCGGGCGCTACGGGGGCGGTTCGGGCACCCCCAGCACGCTTTCGGCGAGGCGCAGCTGCTGTAAGGCACCCCGATGCTGGAAAGCAACGAAACGCACAAAAACCTCGAACCGAAGAAGAACAGACGGCATAAACATTACGCTACCGAGGAACCCCACATACTTCTATTCTGTCTGGAGTGATGATCGCTGAAGTGGAACATGCGAGACTGATGCTGGTGGCCGTTGCCCCGCCGATACCGTTGGTGACGCCGGTCAAGCCTTGGGAGACTGACGCGCCGTGCGAACAACAGCCTGAGCCATGGCGACCACGGAAGAGAGCGGGGCTGCAGGTAGGCAGGTGGACGGCGCACTGGTCTCGACGACGTGGGCAGGCGGACGGCGCACGCCGCGGTGAGGAACTACCCCTTGCACATCCCCTACGGTGTCCAGAAAGTGCCACGCCTGCTGTGCATGGACGACTGGGGCGTACAAGCCCGCGGTGAGGGACCACCCCCTGCGCATCCCCCATGGTGTCCAGAAAGTGCCACGCCTGCTGTGCATGGACGACTAGGGCGTATACACACCGCGGTGAGAGACCCCCCTGCGCATCTCCTATGGTGTCGAGCCTATGCTGTCGAGAAAATGCAACGCCTGCTGTGCCTGGACGACTGGGGCGCATAGAGACCTCGGTGAGGGACCACTCCCTGCGCACCCCCTGCAGTGTCGAGGGAGTGCCACGCCTGCCACGCTTTGCGAGCCCGAAACGGATAAGGAGACCACCCCCAGCGCACTCCCTCTGGTGTCGAGGAAGTGCCACGCCTGCCAGGCTTTGCGAACCCGAGACGGATAGAGAGACCACCCCAAGCGCCCCCCCTGTGGTGTCGAGGAAGTGCCACGCCTGCCACGCTTTGCGAGCCCGAAACGGATAGGGAAACCACTCCCAGCGCCCCCCCCTGTGGTGTCGAGGAAGTGCGACGCTTTTCACGCTTTGCGAGTCCGAAACGGATAGGGAAACCACTCCCAGCGCACCCCTTGTGGTGTCGCGGAGGTGCGACGCTTGTCACGCTTTGCGAGCCCGAAACGGATAGGGAGACCCCCCCCCATCGCACCCCTTGTGGTGTCGAGGAAGTGCCACGCCTGCCACGCTTTGCGAGGCCGAAACGGATAGGAAGACCCCCCCCCATCGCCCCCCCTGTGGTGTCGAGCAAATGCAACGCTTGCCACGCTTTGCGAGCCCGAAGCGGATAGGGAAACCACCCCAAGCGCACCCCCTGTAGTGTCGGGGGAAAGCCACGCCTGCCACGCTTTGCGAGTCCGAAACAGATAGGGAGACCCCCCCCAGCGTATTGCCTGTGGTGTCGAGGAAGTGCCACGCCTGTCCTGCCCTGCGAATCTTGCGCGTCTGTGTTGTGTGGTGTGCGTGCCATGTGTATGATGCGTGTGCGGCTGTAACTGGACGTGTGTCTCATGTAGGTGCCCAGTCTGTGGCGCATACGTCGTGGGTGTATGATGCAGTGAACACGCCATGCGTGCACTGGCGCTGTTGGAGTGTGTGTGTGTGTGCGTGCGTGCGTGCGTGCGTGCGTGCGTGCGTGCGTGCGTGCGCGTGTGCATGCGTGTGTGTGTGTGTGTGTGTGTGTGTGTGTGTGTGTGTGTCTGTGTGTGTGTGTGTTTGTGTGTGTGCATGTGTGCGTGCGTGCGTGCGTGCGTGCGTGCGTGCGTGCGTGCGTGCGTGCGTGTGTGTGGTGTGTGTGTTGTGTGTGTGTGTGTGTGTGTGTGTGTGTGTGTGTGTGTGTGTGTGTGTGTGTGTGTGTGTGTGTGTGTGTGTGTGTGTGTGTGTGTGTGTGTGTGTGTGTGTGTGTGTGTGTGTGTGTGTGTGTGTGTGTGTGTGTGTGTGTGTGTGTGTGCGAGTGTGTGCATGCGTGCGGCTGTATGTGGACGCGTGTCTCATGCACCTGCCGTGCATGTGCTGCGCGCGGGTGAGGACAGGACGAGGAGGAAGGGAAGAGGGAGGTGAGCGAGCTTCGCGGGTGGGATGCGGGAGGGAAGAACACCCAAACCCCACGACACACGTGGGGAATCAATGTTTGGAGCTCCGCGCGGATTTCTTGGATCCGCGCTGCGATCCCCCCAGCGGCACCCCCGGCGCCGCCCCTGGCGAGGGGGGTCCAGCTCAGACCTCTTCCTTCTCCTCCTCCTCCTCCTCCTCCTTCTCCTCCTCCTCCTCCTCCTCCTCCTCCTCCTCCTCATTCTTCTCCTCCTCCTCCTTTCCTCCTCCTCTCCTCCTCCTCCTCCTCCTCCTCCTCCTCCTCCTCCTCCTCCTCCTCCTCCTCCTCCTCCTCCTCCCCCCCCTCCTCCTCCTCCCCTCCTCCTCCTCCTCTTCCTCCTCCACCTCCTCCTCCTCCTCCTCCTCCTCTTCCTCCTCCCCCTAGTCATCCCCCCCCTAGTCATCACCCCCCTAGTCCAGAGGGGTCTATGTTTATGGGCGTCCCCCTTCCTCTATCGAACCTCGAACCTCGTTTTCTTGACGGCGCGAGGACTGCAGGGCACCGTCCGCTCGCGCCCTCGTCTGGGCCAGCAGCGGGCCCGCCGCGCTTCCCAAGACCGTCCGGCGCCGTCGGGCCCGGCTCGTGCCCCGTGCGCGACGCGGCCCAGCTCTCTGTGCCCCCCCCCTCGCGGAGGTGCTGCACTTCCCGTGGCCCCACCATCTATGCCGCCAGGACCGCCTCGGGCGCCGGCGGCGGCGGCGGGAGGGGAGCGGGGGGAGGGGGGAGGGGGACGGGGGAGGGATCGTGGAGGAGAGGGAGGCTGGAGAAGAGAGGGGGAGTAGGAGGACATAGGGGGGGAGAAGGGAGGTGGGAGGGAGGGAGAGGGGAGGGCTGAGCGAGGGGAGAGGGAGAGGGAGGAGGCAAGAACAGAGGGAGGAGGAGGAAGGAGGAGGTGAGGAGAGAGAGAGAGAGAGAGAGACCGGATACCGTGGACAGGGCGTCAGGAGTCGTGGTTGAGGGCTTCTCCCTCGCGCGTCGGGAGTCAGGCGTAACATGGGTCGTATGTGTTGGTGACTTTCAATCGCGAAGAAGCCCGCAAATTACTGCTGTCAGTCGCACCAGAAACTCTGGTAGCACTATGAGTAACTTTCCCGTCCCAGTAGTCGTTGCCGTAGCCGTGCCGTACAGGTACTGCTACGGAATCGAGCGATGTTGTCCGCACCCTTTCCGATTGATAGTACGAACAACGTTCCCCGGACCGGAATGCTGTTAGTAGCGATCAAGAGCTTTACTGCCAGCACGGGGTTTCACAGCAGTTTGGGAGGAGTCCTCAGCCGTTCGGACGGGTCGAGCAGCCGCTACCGAAAGGAGCGGCGGACGGGCTCAGGCAAGGCGTTGCAAGAACGCTGCGTCCTCCTCGACAGAGGCCGCCTCTACGTCGATTAGCCTGAGGGCACGGGGCTGGCCCCCGGCACCTCGCGCAGCAGGACGCGATCATTGCCGAGGCCAGGGCAGTGGATAGTGTCCAGGAGGGCGCACACCCTCAGCGACTTCGCCCGGGAGTTGCCCTGGACACGGAAGAGAAGTTTTGCCGCCGAGGTCAGCAGCCACCTCAAATGGACAGGCTGCGAGCCCACAGCTGACAGGTGGACTTGGCAGCACAACTGACTGGAAGACACGATCATCACGCTGGACCAGACGTGCCAGGAATGGAGGAGACCCAGGGAGCTAGGGCACATGTTGCGTGAAGCATGGCGCTACACCCAGCACGACAGCTTCATCAAGTCCAAGCGCCGCAATGTGGCCATAATCAGGCAGAACGGCGTCGGCTACAACCCCCTTCGGGTCAAGGCCGTGCTCGGGTGCTGCGACGAGAATCCTGGGAAGGCGCTGAGGGTGCTGGCTGGCGCCCTCGTGTCGCCCATGTGCAGTGCTATCGCCAGCTGAGGCCCCAGCCTGGGGACCTGCCCCTGGTGTGGTGCGGCACAGGGAACACTGCACCTAGCGTGGGAGTGCGCCAACGTGCCTGGCCGGCCGCCGGCCCGGCCCGCGGACATGCTCCAGCGCAGGCTGTTCTTGCCGATGGGCGCCAGAGCGGCGCGGGCAGCGGATGACGCCACCTATTGCTGGGCGTGCAAGCTCGACGACCTCCTCTTGCAGGAGAGATACCCTACCACCTTCGTCACCGCCGTGGGCGAGGGTGGTGGGTAACAGCGTTGAGATAATCGCGCTTTTTGCCTATGCCTGCACGGCCATCTCGAAGACCCTCGTCGTTGATAACTTTTTCGTTCCTTACATTTATGCAGTTCGTGTACGGTGCTTCGTGCTCGGTATATCCATGGGACCTTGGGACTCGTTGCGGGGATACGTGTTCTCGACCCGTGTTCTCCTCGCTATGTGCAGTGCAGGGCCTTCTACAATCGGATTCGATGCGATTCGAATTGCTGGCTGGGGCCTCTAATCCGATTCGATTCGATGCGGTTGAATTCATCGGCATCGGCCAGGGGCAGCAGGAGCCGGGCGCGGGCGATCTGATTTCGATTTGATTCGGGACGGTTCGCTAGTGATCTGATCTGTTCCCGATAGATCCGATCTCACGATCCGATCCAGCTCAGGCCACCTGCGCGCGTCGATTGCGGGACTAGGGCTGCTCGCGCCGAAATCTGCTGCCACCTGCCGCTGCCATTGCTCGGGTTCCGATGCATCTCCTTGGGGGTAAGGTTGAGATCGGCGCTGGTAGATCCGTGGTCGAACACCAGCCCCGTCCGGCACAGTCCCGCTTAATCCAGTTTGATCCTGCGCTTGATTTGGGCTGGTCCAGATCAGTGGCTGTTCATGGGGACCTTGGGCGGCGACATGGAAATCAGCATTCCTGCACTCGGACCGCATGTGGACCGCATTTGGCCCTTCCTGCTCCTCCTCGCCCTTCCTGTTCCTCCCCCTTATTCGTTCTTCTGGTCTCTTTTGTGATCGGCGAATCCGGCTCAAATCGGGTCCCAGATGCGTTCTCAATCCGGTCCCGATGAATCCAAATCGGACAGCGCTTGTGGCCACGTAGGCGCCCATAGAACAGACACCAAAGCCACTTCTTACGAAGACTTCCCAGGAGCTGCTTTCTCCAATCAGAAGGCGAAAGACGGACGTACATGTGCAAGAAACCACGCTGTCTTCGAGAGTGCGCATTGCGCGCGCGTTCGTAGCACGCGGCTGGTCTCGTGGGCTTGGGGGCCGTGTTCATGTAGGTTTGGTGCTCACGTCTTTGATGTTAGTTCGGGCGTGTCCTTCTGCAGGCGGATTTTGGACGAAAAACAAAAACGAGTCCAAAGATGATCAACAGCAGTATTGAACGTACTCAAAGCATCGTTCCCAGACTATTGCATGATTGGAATCTCCCTCCTGTGGAAGGGTACGCCCGACTTAACCTTTGGGGCTCCCTCTGCAGCGCCGCCGGGGGCCAGGACGAGGGCGAGGAGGCGCTGCACCTCGTGGTGCAGGGCGCCGTCACGGTCGAGAGCAGCCACGCGAGCTCGAGGACGCGCGCCGCCTGCGGGGGTGGATCCCCGCCGCCGCCCCACGCTGCGCTTGGCATCGCTCGGACGTGTGCATTTTTCCCTTCGGCGAGGGCCATCGAGGAGCATCCTTGATGATCATTTGGCGAAAAAAGCACGCACGAAATCGAACAAGAAACACGAAATGGACGTCCGAGCGATGGCCGGTGCGCGCCTAGGCCTCGGGACCGGCGGCCACAGTCGCGGCGGGCCCCGGCCTCCTCGATCTCCTCGCGCCGCTGGTCATGAAGAGCACTTGGGGCCAGTACAAGATGTATTCTGAGCAGAAGGGAGCCTGAGCGCGAGTGGGTCAGAGTGCGAGCGAATCTGTTAATGAGTGCCTACGTTCGCCCGGCTCGCCAGGATGCTGAGGACTGGCGACCACATCGGCCTTGAGGGAGCCTTGGGGTTGCGGACAGACCCGCCGGGATACAGCCTCGTGCCCAGCAAGGCGCCACCGTCGCTGTCGCCGTCGCCGTTGCCGCCGCCGCCGCCGCTACCGCCGTCGTCGTCGTCGTCGTCGTCGTCGTCGTCGTCGTCGTCGTCGTCGTCGCCAGACCTCCACCTATCGCGGACAAAACTATGGCACCTGCATGCTCAATGATTTTGCTTTCTGGGGGCCCTCTTTGGGCCCCAGGCCCATGACAATCAATCATCGAGCTGTGGCAATTACCCAGTCCCAGAGGTGGGCTGGGAAGCCCCAAAGGCTCATGGCACGAAAGAGTAACGTCCGTCGCCCTTCTGGCTGGAGCTGCTTCGGCTGAGACATGCCGCAGCCGCTCTGGCCGACACCCCTCGGCCAACCGCACAGCGGCACCGCCCGTCCCACGATGTTCAGCAACGACGCCCTGGCCCAACGACCTGGGTTCGCCCTCGAATTCCTGGTCAGATTCTCCTCCTCCTCCTCCTCTTCCTCCTCCATCTTCCGCAGCGTCGAAGTTAGGCGGGCCTGGAGCAGTTTCTGTCACCCTCCATCTTCACCTCCATGAAGGTCCTGGCTCGTGCTGGCCCCCTCTCTGTCTTTCGCCCTCAGAGGCCACCGCTGGTCTGACACGCGCGTTGTCCGCGCGCAAGTCTGCGCGCGGACTGGTCCGCTCGCGCTCAGGTGCCATCAGGGTGCGCATCTGCGCGCACTGTCTGGGTTGCATCTGTCCGCGCGAGGCCATGCAGGATGCGTCTGTCAGCGGAGGGCGAGTTGAGACAACGGTAGTTGGCGTTCGGGGGGGGCCTCGCCGCAGCGGTTGGATGCAGCTCGGGCAATTTGTGCAGTTTGAGTCCGGGAGGGGTTTGGGGACCGATTTTGAGTTGCCGTTGTCTCAACTCGCTTTGCCCGGAGTCTCCCCGCACGCGTGTTGGTACGAAGCTCTGAGCCAAGAACGTCGAGATAGCAACGGGTTCAATCAGATGGGCTGAGCGGAGGCAATGATCGAACAACAAAACTTACGAACAAGTCACGACGACGGAGGTCTGCTTCCGCCTTTCCCGATGCAGGTCGCGACCATTAGTCACATGCAGGGTCAACTGTGTGGTGGCAACACTTCGATCCCAGTGTTCGACTTTTCCTTGCGGATAAGTTTGGGCTTGAATGTCGAGGATTCTCTGGCCATGATCACGGAAAGCTTCTAGAATCCCAAGCATGGCAACAACAGCAACAAACAACGTTCGATTCACATGTATTCTCCAAGTAGGTTTGCCCTATAGGAGTCCTAGCTCAAACCCTACTAATTGGTCCGTTGTCTTCCCCGTATTCCTATGCTCCCTCCCTAATTCCTATGGCAATGCCTATGCCTATGCCTATCCCCCTTTTTCCAATGGCACCCCCCTTATGTATGTTTGCTTACTTGCTTTCTTGCTTGCTTTCTTGCTTGGGCGCTTGCTTGCTTGCTGAGTTGCGGATTCCGAGCATGCTTGATTTCTCAGATCCCTTGACTTGAGTCGTCCAACCTATTTGGAGTCAACACTGGCTGATATTCTCTATCACAAGTGGTTTGGCATGTTATCATATTGGTCCTGGCGGCAACGGGTCCTGGACCCCAGGGTTTCCCCCTGAGCCCACCAGCCTTGACCCCCAGGCGTTCTTTGACGGCCCTGGGACCCGCGGAGGGCACGAAGACAACCATCAATTTTACCTGGCCCCGTCCGGTCCAGGCGTCCGCTGTCGCTTGGCGATGGATCCTCGACTTTCCCCTCGCCCCCCCCGCCCCGCAGCTTGCAAACCTCGCGGCCCGTGAGTCGCTTGCACCGCACGGGGCAGCACCGGGTCGGGCTGTGCTGCCCTGGCGAGGGAGTGATGAGAGGTTGCGGGGGCAAGGCTCAGGGGGGGTGCATGGACCCTCACTCGCCCATTCATCGCCGAGAAGGGGCCCGATAGCTCTCAGGAGGGGAAACGCACACAGGCACAATCAATCGTGGGCTCCCAGGGAAATGCGGGAAAATATGGGAAGTGGGGGGGGGGGAAGACGAGCACCGAGAAAATAGCTGAAACCATTGGAACATATGGGGAATCCTGGGATCTGTGTCTCTTTAGCTGTGTGTCCCAGGGCCGTCCTGCCCAGGACCGTCTGGGCATCTGCTGTCGAGGGCCTCTGTCCAGCCTTTTTCGGTTCTATATTTCTAAATCGAAGTCCCCCCTCCCTGGGGCCAGACCCCAAGGGCGCCCTCGAGGGCGCGAAGTTGTTCGCGCTTCGCGGTTCGGCTCCGCTTCCTCCTCACCCTCCACTTCTCCCCTGGGAAGCGGCGCGAGAGCGCAAAGTTATTCGCACTTCGCGCTTCGCGCAGCGCGAAACGCAAAGTTGGGAGCCCTTGAGACCCCCGCCGTTGCCCCTCAGGCGAGGGAAGGAGAGTGCAGGAGAACGCCACCACGGTCAAAACAGTAGTCTTGAGAGGGGCTCGTTGCCCCCCGGTCCCTCCAGGTATCTACCTCTGCCCTTTTTTCCGATCAACTTGGTCAGGATGCAATTCTTGAGATGTTGAATTCAGCATCGGTGCTGGTATACCCATGGTCGAAAACTTGTCCAACCCGGTTTAATCCCGCCCAATCCCGCTTCATTCCTTTGAATCCCGCTTGCTTTGGCTTAATCCTGGGCTTCATCTGGGCCTGTCCGGCTCATTGGCCTTTTAGTCGGACCTATCAGCCCATAGCCGTTCTTGCACAGGTTTCCCAGGATTTGCCTCATACGGCTCGATGCTCCCTCAGTCCCAAGGATTGTCTTCCCATGGCCTTCCCCGTTGCACTTTGGCGCCGCTGATGCCACCCAAACGGGGCTTCGTCCCCTGTCCAGGGCTCCCCGTGGCACGGCTGAGGGCTTTCGGCGCCATGTGCACGCCTCAGCTTGAGCTTGCCGCTGTGCTCCTGCAGAGCTACAGGCCTCTGGGCTTGGCTCTGCGGCCAGCCTGAGTGGGTCGCAGTGGTGCGATCAGCTACGCGTGAGAGACCCTGTCGCGCGGCTTTTGTGGGGCGGGAGGGGGGAGGTGGAGATCGAGCGGCGGGCCCAGGACTCGGAGGGGTTAGATGCGACACCAACACCACCAGGGGGGGCTTCCCCCAGCGAGGAGGTCCACGATGCCTCCCCCGAGCCGGAGGCCGGGGACGTCTCGAGCGAGGGGGGGACCACACCACCAGCGGGACCCCACCCCCATGACTCCTCGCGGTGGGTGGTGGTGTCGCTGCTCCCCGGCCCTCTCCTCCTCCTCCGCCTCCTCCTCCTCCGCCTCCTCCTCCTCCGCCTCCTCCCCCTCCTCTTCCCCCTCCTCTTCCTTGCTCCTCGCACCTCCAGGGAGACCCCCTTGCTCCTCGCACCTCCTCGCCTTGGTGGTGCTGGTGTCGCCTTTGGTCCCACGGACCAGGACGCATCCCTCCCAGACCCTTCTGGAGCGCTCTGGCGCGGCCGCGGCGCCCGTGTGCATCTTCCAGGAGCCGCTGGATCTCGGAGGTCATCGGCTTGGTGGGCGTCGCGCAAGGGGGGGGGCGATACGTGAGGCGTTCCAAAAAGGGCCTTGCCTTCGAGGATAGAAGGAGTTGTCATCTCGTCCACCGCGGAAGCCCGCGGAAGATCGGCGGAAGGCGGCGGAAGTGTAACATGCGCCACCAAGAGATGAAAACGTTTTTGGGTTCAGGGTTTCCGAAATCCGCCACATGGGGGGGCAGCAAGGGCAGCAGAAAAGAGGCCCTGTAGGGCCCCTAAAGGGGCCCTGTGGGGCCCCTGACGGGGGCCTTTCGGGCCCGAGAGGTGCACCTTGCTTCCCCCCCACTCATCGCCCCCCATTCAGCGACGCCCAAATTTGAAGCGGTCAGTCGTTAGCCCGGTCTCGTTTTCGCAGTGGCAGGCCCAATCACTTTGAGGAACATCCTGGAGGCCTCGCGCGTCGCGCAATACTTGCATCACCCAGTCTACCCGTTCGCTCCGCAAGAGGTGGGTCGACGTTCGCGTGGCGATGCTCCGACGCAAGTCCGACGTGAGTCCGACGCAACTATGACGCAATCCAGCGCGAACCCGACGTACATTCGACGTGGATCCGACGTAACTGGGAGCCCAATTCGCCGTGCGAGGGCTCCAGCACGCAGGCCACCACCGCCGCATCGCCCAAGCCTGCACACCAGCGGCCACTCAGTCCTGCCTGGGGCCACTCTCTCTCGTGCAGCCGCTGTGCGTTCCCCTTCCTCCTCCTCCTCCTCCTCCTCCCCCTCCTCCTCCTCCTCCTCCTCCTCCTCCTCCTCCTCCTCCTCCTCCTCCTCCTCCTCCCTCTGTGAGGGGCGCCCATCTGAAGATTCGGCTGGGCTGCGCCGATGCCGACCCTGTCCGGGCCAGCCCTGCGCCGCCGGCTCACGATTGGTGGTGGGCGGGAAGCAGACCTCGGTGGTGGAAAGATGGGCTCCCGAGGGATGGGGTCCTGGGGGGTGGGGAGAGATTACTTATAATAGATGGGGTGGGGAGTGGAATTGGGAGGGATGGGGTCCTAAGGGTAGGGCGGGGTGGGATGGGGTCCTGAGGGAGGGGTCCTAATGGTGGGGTGGGGAGGGATGGTGTCCTAAGGGATGGGGTCCTGAGGGTGTGTCCTAAAGATGGGCTCCCGAGGCATTCAATGGCGGACTTACATTGTTTCGGCGGCGAGCCAGGGGGGAAGTGAGAAGGAGAAGCCCCTCTCGGAAGGTTCGGAAGTTCCCTGGCCTTCGGAAGAAGTTCTCTGAGCCCTCCCCGAAGACAGAAGAGAAACAGCTTCCGAGAACTCCCGCCGCCGTCTGAGAAGGCCTTCTCCTTCTCATTTCCCCCCTCGCTCGCCGCGGATTGTTGGAATCAATTCGTCTTTAGGCTTAAGTCGGGCCTGTCCCTCTACAGGAGGAGAATTCAAAAATAG